ATACAAAGTCATGGAATTAATACAATTAATGATACTGGGGGTGTGTATAAAATAAAAGTAGACCACTGTCTCTCTATTGATCCATCTTCAGTGACAAATACCTTTTCTGATAAATGTGCTTTCAAACACAAAGAAGAGTCTAAGAAGACAACTAAGTTCTGTCAAGTTGCATGTGTGGGAGAGAGAGAGAGAGAGAATGCACGTGTATATGGTAAATCACATATTATTCTAACACATTTTCTCAGAAGCTAGCCCCTGCTCCTCTTGGGATGTGAGGTAGGATGGAGAGGTTAAAATGGACTTGTATGACTGTCTAGAGACAGCTAGGAGGAGTAACCTCCTCTCTTCATCTCTATCAATAATGTTGGCAAACTAAGGCTAGCTCTCTGTCTCTTTGTCTAGTAAAAATGGGTAAGGAAACATGACAAAAGGACAAAGAGATTGGTGTAGACTCTCCACCGAGATAAGGTCAATTATTTTTTCTTTTAAATATACATAATACGTGAATCTCTCTCCCAAACAATCCCTTCCACTATTTCAAAAGAGAAAGAGCATTTGGAATGTCCTACAGTAAAACAAAACAAAAAATTAAACATCAAACTACTCACCAACTCAGCCCTGACTTCTTCCAGCAACACCCTCCCCAAATCTGAGGGGAGGAATTCTGCTGCCTTTTTACAGCCTTCGTAGAGGAGGGCCATACTTCTCTTTTGCTCCCATCTCCTGCTTCCTCTTTGCCAGCCCTAAGCAATAATTCAGGTGGTAGGGCTCATATACATTTTACCCTCCCCCTACTTAGGGCTCCATGACCTAATCCATCCATTCCCATCCTGCTCCTCTTTAGTGTAATGGACCCGATGTGTCTAATGACTAAGAAAAGAGAGAGAGACATACTATGTCTCGGTCTTAATCCAAAAATTTCCAAACATCATGTTTTCCCTCCATCTTCTTTAACCACACTCACATCGATATCCTCTCCTAATCCCTAAGGGGAGATATCAAACAGCAGTCACATCTTTTAAATCTCATTTCACAGAACGGTAGTAAAGGGTGAGAGAGAGAGAGAGAGAGAGAGAGAGAGAGAGAGAGAGAGAGAGAGAGAGTGAGTGAGTGAGTGAGTGAGTGTGTGTGTGTGTGTGTGTGTGTGTGTGTGTATGTAGCAGAGAGCAGCAGTTTATTTTTTCCATACAATATCCATAGGATCCAAGAAGAGTTCTCACTTCTATTCAAGCCCTTCCAAACATATCCTTCCCTACCCCCCCATTCTCTTGTTGTCCTTGTTTCCCTCTTTTCAACTAAGTACAGACCCCCCCCCTTTTTCTATCCCATTACCAGGAGCTTCACCTAATGCAGCTCCCTTTCCCTTGCTCCCTCTTCTCCCCCCTCCCACTACCACAAACAGTCAGAACCAGAGAAAGATACAGGCACCATCTTCCGGGAAAACAATCTCCCGTAACTCGTGACATTTAAAAAGAATAATGCAGGTAACAGCAGTAATGAAGACAGAGGGTGGCTGGGATGAGGGACAGTGTAGGGAGCATGACTAAAGCAAAAGGGGAGTGCTAAATACTTGAGAAAAACACCCCGATGTCTGAAGACTCCAGAACAGGCAGAGGCTCAAAACTGATGCCCAGGACGGCACAGACAGCATTTGGTGCCACACTGAAGGGAAGATCAGAAGGGTAAAACAATCACGTCCCCGCAACCTCCGATTGGCGTCTTCCACATTGCAGGAGCTTAATCCGTGTTTGCAGAATTATTGAGATGGGAAGGAGACCATTCAAAACAGGCAAGATGACAATTAACATGAGATCGAACTAATGGGCAGCTTTTTTTTCCTTCTGAGTTAACCCAAAAGATTGATCATTAAAGTAGGCTTAAAGGAACAAAGGCAAAAAAAGCAAAAAAGAATTTTTGTTAGAAAGGAAGCTGAAAGAGAGAAAATAGAAAAGACACGAATGATAAGCAGAAATGTCCTCTATCAAAAGCTCCCCATTACACAACCCTGGAGACTTAAATCCCCAACTGAGATGTGTATCTTCAGAAATATAGAGGCTTCCAAAGCTACTCTTGTGGATCTCTAGAACTGAAGATTGGGGAGAAAATATAAAAGGAAGATGGACTTGGAGAAAAAGAGAAAAAAAACATGAGTATCCTTACAGACATATACACACATTCTACATGAACCGGTCTTTGAAATGAGAAAGAAAATGAACGAATTCTTCCAACTATAGGCCAGTAAATTGATCTCTCATCCTGAGCACATTAAAAGACCAACCCAATCTTTATTTACTTTCAGAGGAGGATCCATAGTGTCCAGGAGAGGGAAAGTAACATTCTCAATGTTTTCTCTCCCCTAGTCTGATGTACCCCATATTCCTCCCACCTCCCATCTGAAGTAGGATGTTTACACCATTCTAGGGGCCACCACCACGAGCAACACTGATAAACTCAATGGCATCTGAAGGATGGTAACCTGGAAGATGAGAAGATCAGAAACCATGTCCTTCTTCTCTGTCCCTCCCATACAAGGAGCTATTGAAAGAATAAAGCATGTTTTTCTCAGAAAAGAAAAGGCTAACTGTGGGTGGGACTAGAAGTATGAAAACTGTTTTTGAGTATATTTGGAAAGCTATCCTTGAGGACAGAAGATTAGACATTCTGTGTAATGTTGGAAGGCAGACTGAGAACCATTGGGTAGAAGTTGTAGATTTACATGCTTCAATGCAGTCAATATATTAAAAAAAATAAAGAGACCCAGTATGACATATCCAACTGTAGAACAATAGGCAAAGTAACACACTCTGTTGCTACTCCAGTATGTCAAGTTGTAATTTCTTTAAATGAGAGAATATGAACAAAATAAAGCCCTCGTCTGTCCTCCTCTGTCATGAAATGGAAAGTCCATCTCCTATGAGAAAACAGAGCCATAGAGAAGGGCACTAAGACACGCTTTGAATTGTGGGGCACAGGAAAAGAAAATGAGAAGTAGAGACTCAAAGATTTCAAGACCTATATGCCCCTGGTAACTTTTCCAGAGGTGACGGGGAAGATGACTGATAACAGGCTGCTTATTTGGCTTTCCATAAGATGTGCATTGGTGATACCTCCAACTTTCTCTTTGAGCATCTCTTTTCATGATACGACAGGGATTTTAGAGAAGAATAAAAATCTGGATACCTCTTCATGGGCTGAGCCTGTCCATTCCCATGATCTACTTCCATGAAGTACCATCATAATGTTTCTTATCCCCAGGAAAGAAAATAGCAATAACCACTCGCCAAGGCCAACCTGTGACAACAGAACCTTAAGTTGAGCAAGAACTAAGTCAGGGCAGTGGTCATAATCCACTTAGGAGATCATAATGACCTGGGCCTGGTCCACTTGCTGCATATATATATATATGATAATACAAAAGTGCTAATCATGGGATAATACATTTAAAACTTGAAAGAACCTTGGGGAGTCAACTAGTCCAAACCCATCATTGGACAGATGAAGAAACTGAGGCCCACTGAAGCTAAATTACTTTCCCAAGTTCACATAGGCCATGACTAGCAGAGGAAGGATTGGAACCAAGAGCCTTTGCTCTTTCTCAGCCTTCATTTTGACCAATCACAACCCCAAAGTAGTGCAAGTTACTACCTCTCCTCCCACACACCTAAGTCATTATTACTATTTTTTTGTTTCTTATTTCTATTGTTTTGTCTACTGTTTGTCCTTTGGATTACTTTTGTAGTCTTCCATCCCCTTCAACCTCTTCTCTATTTCTCTCTTTTTTTTCCTCTAGAATTCCTCCAAGAACAGAGATTGCTTCCATGGCACATTAAGAAAACAGATGACATCCTCAGGAAGGAATTTATTTCTCTCTTTCTCTTCCCCACCTATCCACATCAGAGGAATATATCACCTTTGGTCATCTGTTTGATTGATGGATTTTTTTCCCTTTTTGTTTTGTATCCTTAGCACCCTAGCACAGTGCCTCGCACATAGTAGGTGACTAAGTGTGTATTGGATTGAATAAACATTGAACATCTGCCCCCATACACTGTATTGAACCAAATAACAACTGACAGCCCTCCCCACCAAAAATTATCTACAGGTACCCAGTCCAAGGATACCCTGGTCCCTCTTGCCACCCAGTTCCAAATCTATTCTTCCAATGAATGGTCTGACTGCCATTATAGAAAGGACAGGGAACCCCTTTCCTTGACAAACAGTAATTTTCAGAGTGGCCTGAAGGAAGCCTTTTTTAGCTCTGGCACTCTCCACTTTAAAGAACTCAAATCACATCAGAACAAAAATTCTTTTTGGCCAACAATCCAATTACCCTTTATATCCACTGCTACTCCAGTGAGAACCACTATATACTCAATCTCAAGTTCTTCATGCTCTACCCCTTTCTGACACCACCATACCAGATAAATCACCTCATGAGATCCTTCCCTCCCAAGACTCTTCCCAGAGAACCATGGGAAAAAAAACCCACAACTCAATCCTCCCTTGTTGGTGGGGACCCTCCATATTTAAAATAAAGATGAAAAGCAACATGGATAATGTTTCTTACAACATAATATCCATTCTTTCAGTGGGGGCACCATATCTCTTAGCACATAGCTTTTCCTTCTAAAGATGAAAAAAGAATCTGCAAATGGGTGCCTGGCCATCATCTGGTGGACATACTAAGTTTGCTTTCAGATGGAATATACTTTTAATAGTTCCTCTGCTTGTGAATAAAGAATACCCTAAATTCTGGTGAAGGTAAAGCCCCTAGAAATGGCTATTTAGAGATTTCCCCAAAAGACTTCCATGAGGACTCTAAGGGCAGGGTCTGGCCATCATTGTCCCACATGCCGGATGATGTGGCTTTCTCACAATGTCTTCCCCAGGCTCTTTAGTTTGATTTGATTCATCCCACCCTCCCCACCCTAGTTCTGACAATACCATTTCCCACCCCCTGCCCCCTTGCCTAAAATAATAAATGACATCAAATGACAGGATAAATGAGATGTGCTTCTCCTTGCTAAGTGCATTGACTTTAAGGCATAGGCACAGATTTGCCCCTCTTTGAACAGAGACAGTACGGTCCCTTGTCCCAGTACAACCGCAATCCAGGGTGACCCCTCACATTGACAGTGGTAGGAAGATGGCTGTAGACATAATCAATTAGCTGATGGCTGGGAGTGTATGGTGACAGTCAGTCTGGTTATGCGGCAGCCACTAGTGGCTCTGGGAGATTTCATACTTCTGCTACTGTAGTTAAAGCTGTCCTCCTCTCTGCATTGCCCATCCCCTGTCCAATTCCTTCCCAATAATCAGTAAGCCTAGAAGGGCAGGGAAAAGACCATCTTGGCACTGACATGACATATGCATCTGATAAGCAGATTGCATTGAATATTGACTCAGTGAAGATAGGGATTTGACCTTTCCAGTAATAAGGTCTCAAATATGTTGCCATCCTCTGTCTCTTTGGATCATAGATGGAGTGGATCTGAGCTAGAGCTTTGTGAGAAAATGCTCTGAAAAATCTAGTCCACCCACAGACTCTGAGGAAGCACTTGAGAAAAAAAAAAGATCAAACTCCTCTGACTGAACCTAACCTTTGTTAGATTTCATCTCTTAGTAGATTATCCTGTGATATATCCGCTCACAATCTTTCCTTTATCCAACTGGCCCAAATGGATTGATTTTATCCTCTTCCCTAATCTAGATCATTAAAAAAACCAACAAAAAAACCCCCAAGCAAACAAACCTTTGGATGGCTAATGACTCATTGTCCTCCTTCCCTGGTGCACAATACCTGCATCTTATTTTATTCTTCACAGAAAATTATTTCATTTGCAGAGTTTACCCTCTGTACTTAGACAAATGTGGTACTTGTACTTCCTGGACATATTTTAAACAGCAGCCACTTTGTGATATTTTCTCTAGAATTTCCTGCTAAGAATGAGGGGGTTTCTCAACCCATGATTTAAGATAGTTCCCTACTTCCTCTACAATATAGCCCCCCCTTAAATTGGCCACAGCTTCATGGATGAGGGAGTTAACTCATCATCCTTGGAAGGGAATACCACATTGAGATACTGGGCACATGTGAATGAGGAGAATATGCTAAAACCTGAACACACTCCGCTGAGAACCCATAACATGGTCAAGAATGAGACATGGGCTTCCTAGGTTCCCCTGTACTTGACTCCCATCCCTGTTCTGCCTTGAAGTGCAGAGTTGATGCTCCAAATCTCCCAGGACCATGATGAGAAAGAAGAGCTGCCTTGTCACCCTTCATCATGAAGAGAGTCCCACTTTTGGCTGACACCAGTGGTATTTCATGATGTTAAAGGGATCTTACCAGTCTATGGCATAGTATGGCAGACTGCATTGTTATTATGTTTCAGGAGTCTGAAGTTATCCAGTCTGATAGTCTGCGATAGAGGTTGAATTTAGATGTGGGAGACTGATAATGTGTAAATGGGGGTCACCCATGGATCCTTTTGTACTGAAACCTTCTTTTATACAGAGGATTCTATTTCTATCTATCTATATATTTATATATATATATATTTATTTATATCTATCAATATATATATGTCTCGTAGCCCCACCCTCACACACACTCACAACGCACACACACGCACCAAAAAAGGTCTCCAAGACGCTTTCCGGGTTCTAGTCAAAAGAGTCCACAGCAAGTATTCATTGAGACAAAAAAACCAGCACCAGTGCCATCCTCTACTGTCCGTGACACTCAGTCTTTCTCAGAGGCAGACGCTGGTGTTGATCTGACAGGTGGAACCACTTCCTGCCTGAGACAGGAAGAGTCTTCCATTGGAACAGACACAGATCTCAAATACTTTTTGCCGGGTTCCCGTAGGGGAATAAGATCCTCGAGGCAGTCTAGGTAGTTTGATTTTGGCAGCATCTAACTGGATCTAAAGCAGACAAGAGAGGAAGAGACAAGGTCAATCGTCTATATGACTAAAGTTTATCTGTATCATGCTCAGACAGAATAGGATGCTCTCACCTCTGGAAAGCCTTTCAAGTCCAATTTCACAGAGGTTCAGAAGAGAAGACTGTGATAGATACACATACCACAGAGGTCCATCCAGAGATAATTACCAATCTTCCCTAGCGCTGGTGTTTGTGCAGATGGTAGCAATGTGCATTAAGAGCAAATACCTCTAGACTCAAAAGCAATCACAGAGACTTCTGTGGCCATCCCCATAGTCAATTGTGGTCTAACTTCATGATTGCCAAGATCCATTCATAATTATACAAATGCATATCTATTTCACGAAGATCTTATTTACCAATTCAGACAGATCAGAGAAGCTGGATGGAGCCACATCTTTACCCATCAATGGCCTGCATGGAGCATGCATACATGAAAGGAGAATGAAAAGGATCAGTGATTCTCTCAGTGTTTATAGAGATCTATATTGAAATATAAATATTCTTATATATTCCTTTGTGTGAATGGAGATACCTATATCAATATGTAAATATGCATATATTTCATTTGCCAAGGGTCACTCAGACAATTTGTGTCCAAGGCGTGACTTGAACTTGGGTCTTTCTGACTCTGAGGCTTGCTCTTGATCTATTACATCAGAGAAGCTAAGGAAGAAAGTCATCACAAATAGACCCAATCCAAGTTCGTATGTCACACACAGGCTGATCCTCACATCTTTTGCCTGACTTAAATCCATTTTAACTGAGAGTATTAATACTCAGTGAGATACTGAAAGATCATGGGAATGGAAATTCAGTGCACTAGAATCCTTTTTTTTTGTGTGTTTGAGGGCCCACTCTGATGTTGAAACCATTGACAAATAAGGACATGACAAGGACACATCTAGCTTCCCTCAATATATTCAAATTACTAAGTTGGAATGAAGTACATCCTATTCTACTGAGTAAACTGGCAATATGAGATTTCTTAGTTGCCTTAGTTGTCTGTCAAGGACCTTGGGAAAATTCTGGAGAATAGGAGAGCTGTCATGGGACTGGACAAATGCCCCAGTTTTCAAAGAGGAAAAATAGTAGCAGGAGAGCATAGGCTGTACTTCATTTCCTGGTAAAGTTATAGAATGGATGAAGGGTGTTTAGAAATTGAAGCAGTGATTACCAGTAGCCATCACGGTTTCATCAAGAACAGGTAATGTTCAGGTAACAGGTAGCAGACTGACCTTACTTCCTTTAGTAGACTGATAGATCTGGGGAATATCATAGGATTTTGGGAAAAAAATGGATAGTCTCATATCATTTGAAACAAGATGGAGTTATTGTAGACTTAATGATGGTATGTTTAGGTAGATTGAGAACATACTAATGATTCAGATCTGCCCCTGACGGCAAAGCTAGAAGCAAGCTCCATGTAAGGAAAAACTTCTTAGTGTCAAAAGGATCTAGGCCTGGAGAGGTCATGGAACTTTTTTTCTTTTTAACTGGAGCACTGGAACAGATATTGGGTGACCACGTAGGCCAGATTGCCATTTATGTAGACATAGGAATAGATGAACTGCAAGGTCTATTCTAACTCATTGACTAGGATTTTTTAATAATTTCAAAGTGTTGTTGATTAGACCAGTGGTGTCAAACTCAAATAGAAACAGATAACTGAGGGCCACATGCTGACTTAGAAAACCACAAATCAACATTTTCTAAGTTGTATTGTATTTTTAATTTATTAAAAATTTCCCAATTTCTTTTCAATTTGGTTCCCTCCCCCAACTCAGGAGACCATACTTGAGAGTTCCCCCCATCCCCATGTGAATTTGACATCTCTGGATTGGACCAACTTGGGAAATGACATTGATGAAATGGTTTTGGTTTGTATGAAATCTTTTTTTTCTTTTTCTTTTCTTTCTTTCTTTCTTTTTTTTTTTTAACCATTACTGTTCTTCTTCCTCATTCCTTGCCCACTTCCACCTCTCCTTACCTCTCCATCTTTGGATTCCAGCCTGAGCTCTGTCCTACATGTGGCTTCCATATTGCCAGCTTCAGCATTGATTTCAACTCCTCTAGGGGCTTCCATCACTAAGGAACGGGTGGGAGACTCGAGTCTGAAACAAAAAAATCCCAAAATGTTAGCCTATTCCCTCATACTCACTGATTTATCTAAGGAAAGAGCTTGTTTCTTCTGACTTAATTAATTTTCCATCCCATCTTGGTTGTCTTGATATTGCTGTATGTATCACTCTTCCCACAGAGATGTAGAATTATTGTGCCCCCAATCCACCAATGTGACATTTTTCATTTCTTTCACTAAGCAGGTTCCATGACTGTGGAGAAGCAGCATCGCATAGTAGAATGTGGGGACTCGGAGATAGGAAGATCTGGGTCAGAGTCTACTTCCAGACACTTTATTAGTTGTGTGATCCTGGGCAAGTCATTTAACTTCTCTTGACCTCAGTTCCTCATCTGTAAAATGAATGGGTTGAACTAGATGGCCTTTAAAGTCCCAGCTTTAAGTAGAACTAAATATATGGGCTTGGTATAATTTTGCCTTCTTAGCATTTCTGGAACATGGGATAACTCAAGGAAAATAGATGGGCCTAGGATGCTTCCTTTCTCTTTTCTCCTAAAACGAATGGTGGCTGCATGTTATAGTGGTAGATTTCAAATTAGAAAGTCTGGTTTCTGATCCTAGCTTTATCACTTACCACCTATATAATGTTAGGCAAGACACTTAGAATCATAGATTTCAAGCTAGAAGGGACCTAGCACATCATGTAGTCTAATTTTTACGGCTAGGGAAATCGAGGCTCAGAGAGGTGAAATGAATTGCCTAAGGTCATAGACAGTAAAGAAGCAACAGAAGCAGGATTAGAACCAAATGCGACTCAGAATTTCAGTGTCTTTCCACTATCCCATGCTGCTTTCTGGCCCTCAGTTTTATCATCTGTAAAATGAGGGAGTGAAACTAAGATTCCTGTCCAGCTTGAAATCCTTTACTCAGTGATCTCTTTCTCTGTGTCAAGGTAGGGCTTCAGTGAAATTATGGAATAAGTGTCTATTCTCAGTGTTAGATGAAGCACCACCATTTCCTGGATGACACCCTTTAGAGAGGACTTGTGGCTGAAAGGCAGTCTGTCTGAAATCCAGGCTGCTTCTCTCATGGCCCAGAGAACCGTGGTCCCAATGTCAAGAGAATGGTTCTGACACACCTCCCCCTTATAAAATCTTAATGCATCTGCAAGAGTAAGATTGATAAGAGGGCAGAGGATCCATGTTCTTTTCCTTTGATAATTTGGGCACCTTTCTTATCAATAACTTTTCATGCTCATCTTTCAGGGGAGAAGTAAATTCCAGGTCCTAATATACTCATAACGCATAGCTAGAGCTCTCCCAAAATGACACCATTCCTTTCTTGACCCTCCACAGATTAATGACGCAAAAAAGGAACAATATTACATTCACCTAGAATAGTGATGTTAAACTCAAACAGAAAAACTGAACTGTACATAAAGATATCTGCAAGTTACATGTTGGTTTAGCAAACTACAGGTTAATATTATCAATGTTTTATTGTATTTTTATTTGTTATACGTTTCCTAATACTACTTTACTCTGGTTTGAGTCACACTTGGGAGTGTTTTGGAACACATGTGGACAACTCTGATCTAGAATATGTATCTCTCCTCCTCCCTCCTCCTCCTCTTCCTCCTTTCTCTGTACCAAAAGCATTCACAGGTCTTGCCATTCCTCCCTCACACATTTGACAATTGATTGTACAGGAGGGATTAGGCTGAGATGAAGAAAGAGAAAAAACACTCAGAATCAATGTCAATCAAAGCAACAAGCATTTATTAAAAGCCCACTATATGCTAGGCACCCTCCTTAGTTGTCAGAATATAAAAACAAACGTGAAACAGTCCCTGTCCTCAAAGAGTATATGTACTTTCTATTGCAGAGAAAATATATTCACTTAGAAGTAAATAAAAATACAGAAATAAATTGAAAGTAAGGGGCAGTGTATAGAACACTGGGCTTGGAGTCAGCAAGATTCATCTTTGCGAATTCAAATCCAGCCTCAAATACTAGCTGTTTGACTCTAGGCGAGTCACTTACCCCTGTTTGCCTCAGTTTCTTCATCTGTAAAATGAGATGGAGAAGAAAATGGCAAATCACTCTAGTATCATTGCCTAGAAAACCCTAAAAGGGGTCACAAAGAGTTGGACACAACTGAAAACAACCGAACAACAACATCAAGGTAAATTTGGAAGACAGACAGGGCAGCAGGAAAATCCTTAAGTAGGAGGCAGCACATGAGCTGAGCTTTGCAAGGAGCACATTTTAGTCAATAGGGACAGCAGGCATAAAGGCAGAGAGAAAACACATTAAATGTTGTGAAGGACAGCAAGTAGGCCAACTGGACTGGGTCTAAGGGTATGTGAGGGTGATTCATGTATAATATTCAGAGAATTCTCTATTTTCTGTATCTACTTTCCTCTTAAGTTTTAAATACACTCAGTTCTAGATGGTGTTTCAACCCTTTGCCATAATTCCCTTTACCATCAGATGACTGAGATTCTGTCTTCCATAGGAACAAACTATTGCTTATAAATATATTCATTATTCTTTCTGGTCCCATGAAATCACCATGATAACAGCAGTGATTGATTGCTTCTTCTTTCTCTCACTTTTTATTTTCCTTCCTAAATAAAACCACACTTTCCCTTTACACTTTTGCCCTGCTGTTACTATCCCATGTATCCTAGTTTAGCCAGTGTGGGCTGGTTGCCTAGAGTTTAAAATTCTATCCATATACCCTCATTTATAAACCATAAAGCTCTAGATGAGTTGAGCTCTTAGTAAAGTTATGATTGAAAAGAACTCTTAAGACATACTACCTTTCTGCAAGGCAAAATCGACTTCTAACCTCCAGCACCTTGCTGACTGTAAAAGACTCTGATAACATTCAAGTCACAGAAAGTCCATCTATTTTTTCCCTCATCAGCTTTTCCACCACACTCTGTGAACAAGTCCATTGTGAGGTAGGAGTGGCTACTTGTCACTGAGGTTGTCCTTAGAGAACGTGTCTTCACTTTTTGTTTTTGAAACCTTTTGCTCCTCCTCAGAAGGTCTGTGCATATTATCAGAACTGGGATTTAATCAGCATTAAAATCATTTAATCATTCCCAGGCTTGGGGACATGAAGTGTGTGGGTGTGTCGTTTGGTCTTTTGTTTTCTTAATGTATATTTTTCACACTGCTTTTATTTTTTATATTACCTTCATTTCTGAATATAGGGTGTCCCCAAAGCCGTTGTTGTTGTCATTTCAATTGTATCATGACTCTTCATGACTGTATTTGGGTTTTCTTGGTAGAGATTCTTGAGTAGTTTGCCATTTCCTTCTCCAGCTCATTTTATAGGTGAGGAACTGAGGTGAACAGAGTTAAGTGACTGACCCAGGATCACATGGCTAGTGTCCAAGGTCAAATTTGAATTCAGATCTTCCTGACTAGCCCAACACTCTACACGCTATGCCACCTAGCTGTCCAAATCTTAGTGCAGTTTTAAATCTGATGACTTAGGGAACACTCTGTATATCCCTATCCTTCTTTATCCAGTGACAGGTCCTTCGCAAAAATAAAAAAAAAAGGCAGTTTGACAAAATTCACCAACCCATCAACTCAATATGACAGTGTGTACAATATTCCACATTCATGGTGCCTCACCTAGGAAAAAATGGGAGAGAGGTACATTTTCCCTTTTCTTCTTCAGGGACAAAGTTAGTTATTATAACTCTATAGCATTCAGTTTCCTTTGGTGGAAAAAAAGGTGAAGAGGTGAAATGAGGGCTTCAGGGAAGAACTATACATTGCATCTGCTTTTAAAAGGGAAAAGGAATTCCAAGCAAAAGGACCAGCATGAGGAAAGAAATAGAGGAAACTATGCCATGTTTTGTTCAGGGCAGCTAGGCTCTCGTATCACTAGGGCATTGAGTACGTAGAGAAAAAATGATATGGCATAAAGTCAGAAAGATAGGGTGGATCCAGAATGTGGGAGGTTTGGAATGCTAGGCTAAGAAACATGTCCTTCCTTCATCTAAACACTGGAAAGAAGTCAAGATCTTAGATCCAGGGGAGTGACATGAATCAATCAGTGTCTTGAGAAGATTATGCAAACAGCAGATTGCAGGATATTGGGCTACTTGGAAGGGAAACTGCGATAATCAGCTTGAGAACTCTCAAGGACTTCAAGGAAGGCATGATCTGTAGAACTAAAGAAAGAAGCTTAGATGTCCAAAAGAATGCTGGAAGAGATTAAGGAACTTGGTATTTCTGAGAGTCTCCTCCAGTTTCCTTCTGCATTCAAAATTGTGTTTTGAAAGAAACAAGCTGATCCCAGATTAGTGCTACCTTGGGCCATCCAGTGATGCCCCACCACAAAGCTCTCAGAAATGACTTACCTCCGAAGGTTGCACAAGATGTCACACCTGGGGAACAACTGGCATGTACCATCTTGGGTGTCTCTCTTATTCTGATCACTTGTTCTCATCTCCAGGATTCATTTTGTAAACCAGTCGCATCAACACAAATCTCTCCTAAATCCAGATGCAACATTTGTTTCTATTTGGTTTTGTTGTAGTGGATGTTGGGGTGTATGTGTGTAAAAGAGAAAGAGATCACCCCAGTAACTAAAACAGGGGTTTCCCTGACCAAGAATATCTTTAAGGTTTGGATAAACTATAAGTATATGTTTCTATACCTGGAGAGTCTCACTGACCATGGGTGGGTGAGCCTGTCCCCAACACCCCTCTTTCATTTGGTTTCCAGGAAGAGAGCACCAGACACACATTTGTGAATGCTATAAGGGCCAGGCAATAAAAATGGAGTGGACCACTGGGAGAGAAATGAGAACCTGGTCTACATACTTCCCTCATACCCAGTTACCTGTAAGTGAGGCAATGCTTCTTTGCTCATCTTAAGATGGAAAGACAGGAAAAGGAAGGAAGAAAACGGTAAGCATCCTTCTGGTGCCCACTGTGATTGCCTCTGGATGCCATGACACAGGCATTCTCATCACACTAAAGCTCACAGTAGGCTGGATCTTGCC